TGGTGGTGGCGGCGCGCGGCGCCAGCCCCGCCCGGATCCACTCTCGGCCCGTGTTCCGTGTTTCCTAACCCGAGAGCTGTGCGGTGAGCCGAGCCGCGGCCGGGCCGACCAGTGGGTCGGACAGGACAGTGGACACCGGGGCCGGCGGGGCGCGGCGGGGCGGCGGGGGCGGAGGTGAAGGTGGTGGACATCGGGGCGGTCTGGTCTTGGTTCGTCCTGGTTGGCCGCAGCCTCGCTGGCTGCAGGCTCGGCCGAGCTGTTACCGGACCCCAAAGCTCCCATCGCCCCGCCACGCCCCGCCACGCCCCGGCCACGCCACACCATGACCCGGCCACGCCACGCCCCGGCCCGCCCCAGGTGCAGCCCCGACATGTGAATCATTGACGCTCGAACAGCCACTCGGCTATCGCTACATCGCCGGCCCGGTGGCCCGGCCTGCCGTGCACGCACCGCACAACCCACCTGTCACGCGGCGCTCCCCGGGGACCTCCCCTCCCCTCCCCCTCCCCTTCCCCTCCCCGCCTCTCCTTTGTCACGGCCTAGTCATGTCGCAACCAGATAGTTGGGCGCATCCCCGCCAGTTCAACACTTTACAAAACGTGTTACGAACTGCGTGGCCAGCATCGGGGACTGGTTGGTGGCCGTGCTGGATGTCCAGGGCGTCCTGGGTGCTTCTGGCAGGCCGCCGCGAACCGCCCGCCCCCGCGCCGCCCCCGCGCCGCCATCGGGGACGTCAGGATGGTCGGGATGGGGTTGTTAGCTATAAACGGCCTGGGCCGCCAGGGCCATTGGGTTGGCCGCCATCCCGTTGCCGCGCGCCGCGTTTCCCCGTTGCCATTGTTGTGGTGCGACACTCATTGATTTACGGGCCCGGGGATGCACATTCGTCCCCCGGGCCGTTCGTTCATTGGACGTGTGTTTGCCGATGATACAATGATTTAAATGAAGATGGAGGCCGCCGGCCCGCCAGCCAGGCAGCCAGCCAGGCAGCCAGCCAGGCAGGCAGCCAGGCGGTGTCGCTGATTGCCTCTTCCTCCCTCTTCTCCTCGGCCGCCCCGCCCCGCCCCGTCTCGCTCCCACTGCAGTAATTGTCAGCGACTTTTCCAAACAGTGGCGCTGCAGGCGCGCTGCACCAGAATGGAGGCGGAGGTGGCGAAGAAAGGGGAGGTCGACCTGCCTGTAGCGGCCCGGCCGGAGAGCGAGGGGCTGCTGTGCGATTCAGAGAGTTTAGTCGCTCTGTCTCTGTCGCACTCACGGGGCTCTCCATAAGGGTGCGAGAGAGACAGAGCGACAAACCGCTGGGCCAAGGGCTGGCCAATGAGACGGCTTCGTTCGGGTGGAGCGACGCCGAACGACGCCCTCCTCGGCTTTCGCTTGCTTTTGCTCTGCCGGCTCTGCCTGGCTCATTCCCAACAGTGCCGGCGTGCCGTGGAGGTGCGACAGAGACGGAGCGGCGAGAGCGCCGTGCGAGTGGGCCGTGCCGCTGGCCGTGGGTGTGTGGCGGGCAGGCCTACTCGAGCTTCGCAGGCGCTCGCGCGGGTCGCAGCGGGAGCCAAGCGTTGTGCCGGTGACGTCGGTGACGTCGGGGACGTCGGGGACCACGCCTGGCGCGCCACGCTGTTACGGTGCGGAGTGTGGAGCACCAGTGCAGGAGGGTCCTCAGTGATCCTGGAGGCCTGGCTTGGAAACTGTTACGTGCCTCTTATGCGACTTGGGCTCGAAATAGCACAGTCCCTGCCGTCCCACCACGGTCCTTCAATCTACAGGCAACTGGGCCGCTGCTCAGTGTACTTGACGCCGCTGTAGTCTTCCTCCTTGGACCCCAGGAGCCTGGTGGCGCGATGCGGCCACGCCGCCACGCTGCGCTATCGACCAGGGCAGGGCACGCTGGTGGCCCAGCCCGCCGTCGGGCCGTCCCACAGGCCTGGGAGGCCCGGCCCGACACTGCCCGCCGCCCACACGCGCTATTATGCAAATTTTTATTATTTTATAAAAAATGAGGTGGGGCCATTAGAGCAGCTTGCCCCGCCTGGCCGTGTGGCAGGCCGCGCCCTGGTGCTCTGGTCGGGATGGCCAGGGAACGCTGCGGCAGGCGGCCGGACTCGAACCCGAAACCTCGAGCCCTCGAACCCTCGAACCCTCGAACCCGGGCACGGAGCCTGGCGCCAACAAGGAAAGCCTGACCTGGTGGAGGGAGAGCGCGTGAGGGTGACACCGGCGGCGAGGCGTCCCTGGAAAAGGACGTGGTGGTCCCGGAAAGCTCCCAAATGCCATTGTCCAGGAGGCGGTGCTCGCCTGCTCGCCGGCCTGGTGGAGGACGGCGATGACAGCAGCGCCCCTCCGCTGCTGTTTTTGACGAGGCGGAGGAGAAAGGCGGCGAGAGGCGAGGGCGGGCATGCCGTGCCGGCTTTGAATCTTCTGAGATGAAAATTACCACCGCACCTGACTGACGGGGTGGTCTGGCGGCGTGGCGGCGTGGCGGGCCGCGGCGCAGCCAGCGACACGCCAATTGTACTCCGAGGCGCCGTTCGTGGCGGTGGGGTGGGGTGGGGTGGGGTGGGGTGCATTAGAGATGAACTGATGAAAGGAAGCAGGCCGAAGTAACGCGGCGAGGGGGAGGGGAGGGGATTTCTGCGGGTTCTGCAAAGAGTTCCTCGCAGAATGCCGGCAGCATGAATGCGTCGCGGGCACATGGCGGGGCGCGGCCAGATGTCGTGTGCAGGGGCGGGCGGGGCGGGGCGCGGTGGGACGTCGTCAAGACGTCGTCATTCGAGGCACGGAGAGATTCGTCGAGCAAATCCTCTCGAAAGCGTTCTGCACCACTCCTTTCTCGGCGCGGCGCCGGCCTGCGGCTTACTCTCCTCCACACAAAAGCTCGCCCCACCCCGCCCCGCCACGCCCCGCCCCGCCACGCCCCGCCCCGCCACGCCCCGCCCCGCCACGCCCCGCTGTGCCAGCACCACTTCGGCCCCTCCATTGCGCCAGCTCGTAAAGGAGCCTGGCCCCGCTCTGCCCCGCCACACCCCGCCACGCCCCGCCACACCACGCCACACCCCGCTCTGCCCTGCCCTGCGCGGAACGTCGCCCCGGTGCAGTTGCATTCGTATCCGCATTCGCATTGGGCTCCTTATTGCGTTTCCGGCGGGCTATGGCACGGCCTATGGCACGGCCTATGGCACGGCCTATGGCACGGCCTATGGCACGGCCTGTGGCACGGCCTGTGGCACGGCCTGTGTCCATAGCCCAGGCTATCTCTGAACCGGTCCTCGGGCCTTTAACCAGGTTACTCCAAGCAGCGCGATGCGAAGTTGATGCCGTTGCTTGCGGTCCACACCACCAGCCCCACCGCGATGGCTGATCGAACCGAGAGCCGAGGGGAATAGACCCAATCCGGGGCAGGGTCGCCCTGTCTCCTCGTCGCCTTGGAGGCGCAGTGCCGCGCAGTGCCGCGCAGTGCGGAGCGGAGGGCCACCGCGCCGCGGTCACGCTGGGCTACTGTGGCGCTTGGCCGAGGCCGCGGCCGGGGCCCGGGTCCACTTGACGCCCCCCTCCCCCAACCCCGCCACAGCTGGACGTCCCCCTGTTCGTCGAGATCGCCGTCGACATGCATTTCCATTCGAATATAAATATATATTGATAAATTGCCTGGTGGTTCGCCCGTGGCTCGCCTGCCCCCTGGGCGCGGCTGGCGCGATACGCCACGGCAAGGCGGCCCTGGTGGGCCCTGGTGTGCCCCGCCCCACACACCCCAGTGCCCCCAGTGCCTTTACAGTGCCTCTGTCTTTTCCCTCCGGCAGTCCGTATGCGCGTCGCCGCGTCGCCCGCGCACTTTGCACTTTTATCCATGTTGTTTTGTTTTCGTTCTCCGCAAACTTGTGGCGGCCGTCTTGTTCAATGGTGTTGTTGTTGGCCGCCGTATATTTCCCCCCAACAAACAACAAGGCTCGTTGCTCGCAGGGGGGGGGGGGCAGCGCCCCGAGTTAAGTCGCCGGTACCGGCATCCAGCCGTTCCCCGCATTTACCCCACTTTTTTTTGTTTCTCTCTTTTTAGTTCCCTTTCTCTCCTCTCGGATAGGTTGCTTCGACGGTGCGCTGCGGGCGCGCGCACACACGCACACACACACTGAGAGAGGGAGGAGGCGAATCTTCTTTTCTAATGACACTGGCATGCAAAGCGGACTGTATAAACAGGGTGCCGTTCATCCCGCACAGCGCCGCACAGGGATTGGCTGAATCCATCAGTGCGAATGGCCGCGGCAAAGAGGGGGGGGAGGGGGGACGGACATCCGCCGAGTTGGGATGCCGAGGTGGGTAACAATATGAGAGAGAAGGGACGGCGAGGGGGTGGGGGCAGGCCGGGCAGGCCGGGCAGGTCAAGCTTCTTCCCTCTCACACAATCCATCTCGCGCAGAGCGCTTCGCCCTCTCTCTCTCTCTCCCATACACAATCCATCTGCCGCCGGCTCGTCCCGCTCGGTCGGTCCGGCCCTCGTCTCTTTTAGCGTGGCAGGTCGAACACATGCCGCGGGGCTGTCCAACTACACTGCGCCCTGCTGGCACTGCTGTCGGTGCGTGCGTGTGTGTGTGTTTGTGCGTGTGCGTGCGTGTGGATGGAGTCGGCGATACCTAGCACGCACCACCGCCGCTTGCTCCGAGTTGTGCGAGTAAAAAAGAACAAGCGCCTCTCGAGTCTCGAGCCCCCGGCGGCGGCCTTCTGCTTCGCTGCTTTTCGCCCCGAATCTCAGCCCCCTCCCCCCCCCCCTTCCCTGCGGCCAAACGCCGCGCTATACATCCGATCTGACCCTCCCCTTCCCCTCCCCGCCGGCTGCCAGCGTTCCCAGTGCGTCACTGCCTCGCCCGGTCCCGGTCCGGTCGCGGTCCGGTCGCGGTCCTGGGCCTGGGCCTGGGACTCCTCCTCGGCCTCGGCAGACTCACTGACTGACGCCGGCGACGACGGCGTACATGGCGCGTGTCTGATCGGTCTCTCTCTCTTTGCTGCAGAGGCCGCTGCGCCGCGACGAGCGCCGAACACCGCGCCGATGAGCTGCCTGGTAAGCCAAGGGGTTGTTTTTAGCAGACGATACGTTATTTTGTTTTGCTTTTGTTCCGATTCCTTTTGTCTCTTTTGGTTTGGAGTGAGGCAAAGCCGCTCCATCTAAGATTAACCATTTCCCGCCTTGTGCTCATTTTAGAATGAAAATGTCAAGAAGGTGGGAAATCGATATACATTATTTCAGGATGTTTGTAAACAGGAAATTCTGCTCTTTCTCTAAAACACGACACTGTTTCTCCACAAAAAAAAACACTTGAGTCAAACCTCGTATTGTTTTGTTTTTCGGCGTGCTGTCACTGACCCCCGCTCGGTTCGTGGTTATTGTGTTTGAAGGGCGGCCGCTCCCCATAAAACAGCGTCGGTGGGATTTCGATTTAACACGCTCGCCACACAAGCGGCTCGATCCTAAACAACCACTCTGGTTTTTGTTACAACGCGATGCGGCACGTTAGATACACTGGTTACTCGGGCCGACCGCGGTGCGCGCAAGCCCTGGCGCAAGCCCTGGCGCAAGCCGCAGGCCGAACGCATGCCTACCGGGGCGGCTCTGTGGACCGTCAGAGAGTCTCTCTCGCACCTATACGGCACACCCCATGAGTGCGAGAGAGACAGGGCGAGGAGAACGGCTCTCGGAATCAGCCCGCCGCCGCCACAGCCGCATTCCAGAGGGCGCCATGCAGCGCTGAGAATGCGTGCAGCGGCCGACATCGGCCCCGGCAAGGCAGCCATGCAGCCATGACCGCACAGCACTACCGCACTGCCAAGCCAAGGCGGAGGCTGGAAGCCGATCCAAGGCGGCCCGGAAGACCGGCGGACGCGATCAAAATCAAGGACAAGGACGCCTTGGAGCTCAAAACGCGTCTAGAATTTTGGCCGCCTCCGCCGGCCTTCTGACCCACTGTGCAGGACGGTGAAAAGGGGGGAGGGGGGGGGCTATAGCGCGTCCCGCCTGATGGCGATGGCACGGATGAAGTTCTTTGTTCGGATCAACCCCAATCAGGGCCCGATACCGATCCGGCTCGGATTTTAATCCCCCACCCCGCGCCGCGGGCCAACGGGGTCCTCAAATCGACTAGCACGCACGCGTTCACACGCATACACACACACGCACACAGACACACACACACACACCAGTATCCGTTACCGTCCCGCACGAACCCTGTGCAGGGGGTTGCAAAGTTAGTCGGACCATTCGGCTCGCCTCGGCTTGCCATTCGGCGCCGTGTCCGCCGTGTCCGATATCTGGTCCGAGCCTCATCCGGCGGCGGGCGGCGTGTGGCGGGGCGCTGTCAGTCTCTCTCGCACTCTCACGGAGCGCCCCGTGAGTGCGAGAGAGACGGAGTGACTCGTCCGACTCGCCCGGCTGGACGGGCGGGTCGTCCTGTGGAGCCCTGCGTGGTCCTGCGGAAGCGCGTCGCGTCGCGGCCCGGCTCGATTGGGGGCTGTGCCCGGCGCCCCCCCCCCCCGCCCCGCCACACAAGTAGCCGAATAAAAACGAAACAAAAAGAGAAACTTGCTTCTTTGACCTGCTAACATGCTTTGTTTTTTTTTTATACTGCATCGCATCGATGTTCGGTCACCGCTTGTCCTTGCTTTGTCACCGCGTGTCCTTTTTCCGGGCCGCGTGTCCTTGCTTCGCTCCACGTCGCGCCGCGTGCCCCTGTTCGTCGCCGCGCGCCCCGCGTGTTGGGGGACTGACTGGGTCGGCGCAGCACTGCGCAGCACACCACACGGGGAGAAAAAGTGAATGCCCCGGTCCGGCCATCAATCCTTCCTGCCCCCTCTCTGCCTCTCTCTCTCTCTCTCTCTCTCTCTCTCTCCTCTCTCTCTCTCTCTCTCTCTCTCTCTCTCTCTCTCTCTCCCCCCTCTCTCCCCCTCGCCCTTTCCCCCTGGGCACCCCGTCCCCCAGTTTTCCCTTTCTTTCTGCCTTTCCCCCGCATTCCTTTGTCGCACTCTTTTTCGCTCCGCCCCCACCCCACGTTGGCCGGCCGCGCCCCAACTTTTGCCCGCCAGACCGGACCGATTTCTTCCGCTGGCGGAGAGGCTGCGGAAGTTGATGCAGTTAATGCGGCAGGAGTATATGCAACCAGGTGGCCGAAAACGGAACAAAATAAAACCAAGAGCTGCGACTGATTGAAAGCATGCAGTTTCGTCGATCACGGTCTCAGCCCCAGTTCGCCTCTTCAGTGACGTGGCCGCGGTGTTCGCAATGGCGTCCGCGGTTCGCGGCCGACGGCGACGTGTCGTCGTCGTCGTGGTGGTCGTCGTGGTCGTCGTCGTGGTGGTCGTCGTGGTGGCGAAACAAGAAACCCAACTGGAGCACCGCAAGTAGTTCCCGCGCCACACCGGCAGGCGGCTCGGCCCGGCTCGGCCCGGCTCGGCCGGCTCGGCCCCGAGAGGGCTGCCCGTCAGCAACGCCGCCTTGCGCCGCCTCGCGTCCTCGGGGAAGGCGCTCAAGACTTGGAGGCAACACTGTAGTATCGTGCGATTCGTGCGTCTGAACGGCGCCCCGTTTCGTCAAGTTGCGCCGGCCGCGTTGGTGCAGGTCTAGTTCTCCAACCCCAGCCACCCCGCCCCGCCCCGCCCCACCCTGCACTTCGCGTGCTGTTTAACTCCCTCTCCCTGCCCCGCCCCGCCCCGCCCCGCCTTGCTTGGCGCCGCTTCGCGTGCCGCCGCGCCTTGCAGGTAAGTGTTCCTGCCGCATAATCGATTCGCCTCGGTAATCGGCTCTGAGAACACCGCGGCACCGCGGCGGCGAGGCGAGGCGAGGCACCGTGCCGAGAGAACGAACCGGAACCTAACGGCACGACATAAATCGGCCCGCGGCGTGGCAAGGCGTGGCGGGGCGGGGCGGGGTGGCGTGGCGGTAGGAAAGATGCCGCCAACCCCAGTCCCCAGTCCCAGAGCAAGCGCGGGTGCCGACTCGATTCCCTTTCGATCCAGACGCGGTCGGCAGCACACCCTAAAAAGCCGTTTCTTGAACCGAGCCAGCGGAGAAAAGGTGGGAAAAGGCGTTCTCAAATACTGCGAGTATCAACCCTCTCGGCTCATTCTGGACAGCCACGTCGTCGCGCTGTCTCTGCCGTGTTCACGAGCCGCTCTGTCTTGGTGCGGGAGAGGGGGGGGGAGGCCTGCAGGCTGATTCCGAGAGTCGTTTTGGTAGCTCTGTCTCTCTCGCATTCACGGCGCCCCCTTAAGGCGTGAGAGAGTCGGCGACGAAAACGACTTTCTGAGTCTGCAGCGGGCTCGGCGCGGCTCGGCGCTTTTGGCGACCGAGGACCGCACTCCACTGTGGGCCGGGAGGGGAGCCAAAAGCCAAAAGTCGGGCCTTTTCACTGCCGGGCTCGGAAGATGGAGGAGCTACCGGTGCACTGGAAGGGGGAAAGTGGGGGGGGGGGGGCACCCCGGACTCGGCGGGGTCGAGTTCCTCATGACGTGTTTCAAGCGAAGGCAGTGCCGCTGCGTAATCTGTTGACGGCCTGCCAACCCACAGTGGGCCAGAAGACTGGTGGAGGGGGCCAAAACTAAAGACGCGGTTTCAGCTCCAGAGTCGCTTAATGGGGCTCGAACCGAACGTATGACCCCACCAATGGATTCCTCGTTCGGAGAGCAATGTATAGGTGGGTCAAAAGTTCGGTTCGAGTCCCATTTAGCGACTCTGGAGCTCAACCCGCGGAGTCCAGAGTGTTTTGGATGCCTCCACCGGTCTTCTACGTACCGCGCTGTGCGGCGCCAGGCGGTGCAGGCCGAGCGCCTGCGCGGCAGGCAACGCGACGACATGGCTGTCGCCGGCGCCCCAGACCCCTTGAAGCCTGGCTTGCTCAGACACGACTCTGGATAAAAACGCGTCTGCACAAAAAAAAATGGTTTCTTGATTTTCGATTTTCTTGGTTTTTGTAAGAAAAATAATCTTGACACAAGAAAAATTTTCTTTCTTAAAAAAAAAAAAAATTGGATTAAGAAAATGTTTTTTCGCAAAAACCAAGAAAAGTTAAATTTTTCTTGATCCAAGAAGTCATTTTTTTTGGGGGTGTGGAATTATAGGCCGCATCCATCGGTCTTCTGGCCCCTCTGTGCAGCCCCTCCCAGGCGAGGACGAAGACAAAATTGACTGTTTGAAAAATGGTGACGCGAGAACACTTGCCGTGTTCCAGCACGGTGCCAGGCGTGCGCACGGATTTCATCTACTACTCGAGTTCGCTGTCAAGCGCTGTCAAGCCGCCACCTTTTGCGTGCCGCCGTCGGCCCGAGTGCGGCCGCGGGGCCCGTGTGGCGGGGAGGGGGTGGGGGAGGGGGTTTGATATTCGTCACCGCGCGGAAATGTAAAGTCACTCGACGTCGCCGGCAGTGCCTCCCTCCCGGCAGACTGATTCCGCACACCGTCCGTCTATCTCTCTCGCACCGGTGCGAGCGCCCCATGAGTGCGAGAGAGAGGAGAGAGACCTCCCTCTCGGAATCAGTCTCCAGCTGGAGCCGGAGCGGGCCTTCCCGTTGCCGACGGGAATAATACGACGCCCACATGTGCCACGCTGCAGCGGGGCGGGGCGGGGCGGGGCGCCCTGGTTAATTCGCATTGCACACGGGATCAAGTTGTTGCAAGACGAGCTGCCGGCACAATTGCACGGAGCCCGAATGAAACAAGTTTGGCGCGCGCGAGACGAGCTGTCGAGCACTACTCCGCGCTGTGTCACTCCGCCTCGCACGCAATGAGGTTCAGCGGAGAGAGGACAGCCGTTAACGGAAGCACTCTAAAAAGAACATTGATAAGTTTCATGCAAAACCGAAGTGACCAAGAAATCTACCATTTAGACTGAACCGCGAGTCCTGTAATCCGCGTGCCTGATTCTGCGGCACAGTGGGCCAGAAGAGCGGGAGGCGGCCAAAATCCCGAACGCGTTTTGAGCTCCAGAGTCGCTTACCAGGACTTGAACCGAACTTGTGACACCACCAATGGATTCCTCGTTCGGAGAGCAACCTATTGGTGGGGCCACACGTTCG